ATAATAATATTAATAATTAATTATTATTTATTTATAATAAATTAACTTATAAGAATATTAATATTCCTTATAATATTTTTTAAATTAATCTTTTTAATAATTATAAGTTTAAAAATTTCTTTAATTATAATTTTTTTACTTATTATTATTTTAAATGTTTAATAATATAACTTATTTTACATAATTCTTTTTATTTTATTAATATAATAAATATTAAAAGTAATAATTTATATATAATTAAAATATTTTTATAATAACTTATTTTATTATAAAAATTAGCTTTATAAGTAATTTTATTATTTTTATAAAGTTATTTTAAATAATATTTTCTTAATAAAGTTAATATATAAGAAAATAATTTTTTTTATTAATAAATAATTTATTATATTTTTTAAAATATTATTTGCTTATTTAAATTTCCTTATTAATTAAAATTAATCCTTTTTATTAATTAATAATTAATATATTTAATAAAAAAATAACTTTTCTTATTATAAATACCCTACCTTTTACTTTTAAATAATACTTAAATACTTTAATATAAAACCTTTAAGTTTAATATTATTTTAAAGAATATGATATTAAGTTTTTTAAATTATTTAATTTAAAAAAAGCATTAAATAAACCTTTTAATAAAGATTAAGAATTATATTAATATTAATAATAATTTATTATTTTATTAACCCTTATATTAATTTAAATTTACTTAAAAATAAGCTATATATAATTTTATTAAGGTATATAAAGGAATATTTATTAAGAAAAGCAAGAAATCTTAAGTATTAACTTTATATTTAATTTTAAAAAAACTTATCTTATTAAGTTAAAATATATTTAAATTATAATAAATAATTTAATATTTTTATTATAATTATTAAAAGCTTAATAAATATATTAAAAAATATATATACTTTATATTAAGTATAATAAATTAAATTTAATATATAATTAATTATAAATATTATATTTATATTAATTTAAAAAATAGCTTTTAATATATTAATATTTATTTTATAAATATTAAGAAATTAACTTTATTTCCCTTTTTAATTTATATAAATAATTAATAATGCTATTTAATTTATATAATGCCTTAATTATCTTTTAAGCTTTTATTAAAAAAATTTTTAAAACTTAAAAAACTTTATATATAGCCTTTTAAATAATATTATTATATAAGTAAATTTTATATTATAATTATATAAATATTTACTTATAATATTTTAAAGGCTATATTATTATAATTCTATTTTTAATATTTAAAAAACCTTTTTTTTATTTATAAAAATATATTTTTAAGCTTTTTTATTTTAAAAGATAATATTATAATAAACTTAATAAAGATTATAGTTATTTATAATTAGCTTATATTAATTATAATTATAAAAGTTTAAGGCTTTATTAATATTATTAAATATTTTAAAATAATTAATATTTTAATTAATTATATTAATAATTTTAAGGGTTAGCTAATTACTTTATTAAATATAATATAATAATAATAATAAAATATTTATAATATTATTATTATTCTTTTAATTATTAAAACTTTTAATTAATAACTTTTTTTTATAATAAAGATAAATATTAGCTAAAGCTTTATAAGCATTGCTTTTTTTTTTAGCTATATTTATATAAAATTAAATTTATTTTATATTTTATTTTATACTTTTTAAAGAAATTAATAAATATATAAATTTAATACTTTACTTAAAAATAAAAACTTTTTAATATATTATTAATACTTTAATATTAATTTTATTAAATTTAAAATATAAATATTATTATCTTTATAAATTATAAATTATTTAAAACCCTTAATATTAAGGTTAATTAATTATTAAGAATTATATATTTCCTTAATATTATTAAGTATTATAATATTTATATTATATATTATATTAATAAAATAAATATTCTTATTAATTACCTTTTTAAATTACTTATAAATATAATTTTTAAATTTACCTTACTTATCTTTAAATAAAAAAAGGGAAGGACTTACTTAAATAAATTTATAAGTAATTTTTAAATATTTTTTAAAAAAGTTAACTTTTTTTTATTATTAATTTTAAATAAATAAAAAAGTATTTTATAATTATTTAAGGTTAATTATATAAGATTTATATATATAAATAATAACTTAGCAATCTTTTTATAATATTAATATTACTTTAAAAGTAATATTTTTTATTAATTTTAAATTATAATAATTTATTAATAATTATAAAGAAGTTATATTTAATATATAATTATTTAATAATTAATAATACTCTTAAAAAGGCATTAAAAGAATATTAATATTTAAAAATTATTTTTATTATTTAATAAGTTATTATTAAATATATAAAGTATTAATTAATAGAAATACTTAATTTAATATTATTAACTTTATTAATAAAATAAGCTATTAACTTTATAATAATTAATAATATATTAATTTTAATAATTATTAAATATATTATTAAATAAATTAAAATAAAAGTTATATTAAATTAATAATTTAAGAATATTTTCTTATTATTAAATAAGATTATTAATATCTTTAATATATTTAATAAATAAATCTTTAATAATATTAATTACTTTATTAATAAGGTTGCCCTTATTTAATATTATTAATATAAATTAAAACTATATTTAATAATATTAATTAAGTTATAAGGTAATAATAAAGTTAAAAAAGCTAATAAAGATTTAAAGTATATAATTTTATAAGAGTAATTAGCTAACCTTAATTAAGATTTTTAAGCTTTAATATAATAAGTAATAATATTATATAATTATATTTTAAAGTAAATAAAAATATAACCTTTATTTCTTTCTTTTTAATATATTATTATTTTTTAAGTATAAACCTTATATTATTTATATATAAGAATTTATAAAGCAAGAAAAAGATAACTTTATAAAGTAATTAATTAAGGAATATAAAGCTTTATTAATATAAAATTATATTATAAAGTTAAAAATATCTTATAATTAAATATAAATATTTCTTTAAAAAGGTAAAACATTATTATAAATATTTATTTTTAATAATTAAGTTTTATAAGTATATTAATATATTTATAAGCATAAGTTTTATTATAATAAACCTTAAGTTATTATTATTTATTATATTAATAATATTTATACTTTATATAGCTTTAATAATATTATACTTAAAATATATATAATAATATAAACCTTTTCTTAATATATATTATAAATAATTACCTTATTAAAAGCTTATAATATATTAATAAAATAATGCTTTAATATAATTATAATTAAATTACTTAATTAATATAACTTAATTAAAAATAAAAATAATAGCTTATTAATTATTATTAATTACTTATTAATATTTTATTAATTTATTTAAATATTTCATTTTTAAACAACTTATATCTTTTATACTTAATTAATTAAAAAGATAAAAAAAGAAATTAATTAAATTAAAAGTTAAACTTAAAACTTTTTTATTTAAAGAGTTATTTATTAAATAATTATTATTTTTTTAATAAATTTTTATAAATAAAAACTTACTTTTCTTAAAATACTTAAATTAAAAAATAAATTATTAAATTAAATAAAGGTATATTATTATTATATTATCTTGTTATTTATTATAATAATTAAAAAGAATAATTATTTAATAAAAATATAAATTAAATATTAAATATATATCTTATTTTTCCTTAATAAAAGATATAATTTATATAATAAGATTAAAAATAATTTATTTAAGTAAGGGGATAATATAAATTTATAAATAATAAGCAGGTAGTTGCTTATATATATAGCATTATAGCTTAAAATATTAAAGGTATAGCCTTTTAAGTATAATTAATAATTAAGTAACTTATATATTATAATATATAATTTATAACGTCCCTTATAATTATTATAATGTTATTTAATGGGTTAAATATATAAAGAAGCATAGTTATTAAGAGGAGGTATTATAAGATATAAATAATGTTATTAATAAGATTTAAAATATTATATTTAAGATATTATTATTAATATTAATATAAATCTAAACTTTTCTTCATTATATTAATAAAAGCTAGACTGTTTAAGCTATTTCTAAGGAAATAGTATAGATAAGATTAAATGTTAAATGTACAATATTAATATATAGCATTGAAGAGACTCTTTGGATATATATTAAGTTCTTTTATACCCAGGTGATCTTTGAGACTGCGTCACCGTCACGATAGTAACAATCGATGCAGCCGACAACATATTTCGCTCTTGCCTTTCTCACTTAGCTCAAACCTAGAAAGAGTATTGAAGCAGAAGTCCTATCCCTAAATGTAATCAAACAGTAAAGACCTTTTTAAAAACCAATGTGGCGGGCCCCTGAAACCTAAAATGGGTACTTAAGTGACCTTGAATAGCGGTGCAAGAAGGACCTCCTTCACGACGGTTTTTGGACGCAGCATAGGGGGGGGGGAAGAAGAAAAAAAAAAGTGAGATTTGTTCTGGCACTTGCAGCTGGTGAACAGCTGGCACCAGCTGGGTCCAACATCATTGCATTAGCTGGCTGCGGCCGGCCCTCGCTCCGTAGCTTGCTCATAGTCAAAATGTACACCATCCTCAATAAGGATATCAAAGTAATGCGTGGTTTCATGCCTACACTGCTACTGTTCGAGGGCGATAATTCCTGAGCAGTTTGAAGTAAAGCTTGTAGCGACGAGGACATTGCATTGTAAAGACGCGGCTGGCGGTGGGGATGCTCGAGCGCCGAGGACGGGTGTTCCTAGCTGCTGATCCCCAGAATTGTTAACATAGCCAAATTTAGTACCTTCGCGTTCTGAAACCCATTTAGATATTATTCTTTACATTCTAGCTGCCCAGGTGGTACTACTGGACACGGCAATTAGGTCGGATGCTCAGAATTATTGCGGGACTGAAAGCCAGCGGCTGCGGAAAACTAAAAGGCAGTAAGGACACCGAACTCATGTTCTCACTGGGGATATTCAGCCTAGATTAGTTGCTAGCCAATGGTAATGAAGAGCGCACTCCTCCTGGTAGCGCCACTACTTCGTAGGTGCGGTCGGAACTTGGTTCGAGTAATTGCTTGCGCCCAGGCCAGGCCGCAGCGGATGAGGAGAGAAAAGGAAAGAAAGGCACATTTTGCGATATTCTGGTTTAATTATGTCCTTACAAGTTGACTTCAAATAGATTGAGATGCGCGGGAGCCTCTCCTCAGGGAACAAACCAAGTTCAGTTGCCCTCTTCACCAAAACTTCTCCACCAGCTGTGAATCTTGCGTGCAGTGTCTTTTCCACAGCACAGAAGACGAACCGGTCCATTCTTCCCCAGGTAGTTTTTCTGGAAACTGATTCAATCGCAATCAATTGATCACAGCAGGGATGGTTTCTCACGCTGATCAATTCAAATGACGTACAGCTACTTGGTACAAGCGCCTGGAGTCGGGGAAGTCAATTATCAGGAAGGAGCCCTCGGGCGCCGGGAGGTTCAGCTCCCTTAGCCACTCTAGGGGCTCCTTTGAATCCAGAGAGGAAGGCGCGATCCTTTCTGATCATGGAAGCTGGGAAGAGCAAAATGGGACGCCTCGTGAGGACTCCGAAATCTGAGAACCTTTCCTCCAGGCGCGCGCACACTCACCCACTCACCCACACACACACATACACACGCACACAAGCGCGCGCGCACACACACACACACACACAGAGAGAGAGAGAGAGAGAGAGAGAGAGAGAGAAGAGGAAGAGGAAGAGGATGACGATGAGTGAGTAAAACCTTTCTACACTTGCCCGTCTGTCTCTATTCTGGAATGTCGTGGAGTAACGAGAAGCCCTTCTCCTTCCACCATCATTTGCCTATTCTGTTTCGCAATGCGCTAGAATGTACTACATCCTTCAGGGTGGATTTTGTCTTCACGCTCTTCCTTTCCTTTTCGAACGCTACAGAATTGTGCTGCTTTACTAGTAGCTCCTTTCACACTTGCCCGCCTGGTCTGATTTCCTTGAGATATGTCTCTCTCTTCTACTTTCACGTTCTCGAGCTTTGGTTTCTTGCAACGCCCCAAATCGCACCACTTTGGCTTTGGACACTGTCACTAACAGATATCAGCGACTGTCCGGGCGGCGGCGGCGGTGGTGACCGCGTTGGTTACAGAGACCAGTAAGCACCATTCTTTTCGTTTCACGGTTCCTCTTCTGTCATATTTAAGAAAGCCCAAGATACATCATTTTGATTTCCGTAGCAGGTGGCTAATAAGTACTACTAGTCACGGTAACGACGACGGCGACGGTGACGGCGACGATGGCGCCGTCGGAGCTGGCGGCGCTCCTGGCGGCCGCCGCCGAGGTGGCCAAGGCCAAGTCGGGGGGTGGCGCCCTCGACACGGCGTCCAAGTTGGCCGCCCTCGTCTGCGCGGTGGGGGTGGTGGGGGCCTGGCTCTTCCCGGGCTGGCCCCACCCGGGTTGGCTCCGCCGGCTGCTGGCCCGGCAGCAGCAGCAGCATCAGCCGCCGCCGCCAGCAGCAGCAGAAGTAGCACCAGCAGCAGAAGCAGCAGCACCAGCAGCACCAGCACCAGCAGAAGCAGCACCAGCACCAGCACCAGCAGAAGCACCAGCACCAGCACTAGCAGCGGCCGCGCCCGCGCCCGCGCCCGCGGAGGGCCGGCTGCGCCGCTGGGTTCGGGCCGGCGCTCGGTCGGTTGCGGCCGGCGCCGCCTGGGTGGCGGAGGAGTAGGGGGGGGGGCAGCAGCAACAACAACAACAATTTGGGTTGGGGGGTTTTTTTTGGGGGGGGGGGGGGGGGTGGAATTCTTTTGGAGGGCGGGGAGGGAACAATATATATTAACTTGAGTTAATACATGCAGCCGGCCTGGCTTCAATTCTTCAGTCTGTCTTCTCGTGCCGTGACTTATATTGAATCATTTCTGAAAAACTCGTTTGCTGTGGATTTATCACCATCCTCTTCTGCGGCACAGCATGACCACTTGTTGCTCCGATCTTGACCGAATGGAGTGTGATAATGTGGAAGCTCAGTAGCCGTGGAATATGCGAAGATATTCCGAGGCAACCCAATTTTCGAAGAGCAGCATCTTGGAGCCGTTATGCGTTTCATATGCGTCTAATTTGAATATAAACAAATGAACACAAAGACATGATATGTACACCTGCAGCAGCTTACATCAACTTTGTCAACATACATCATTTTGGCCCTGGGCAAAGACGCAATGCGCGACTGCTGAAAATTGGTAGGGAACGGCTTTTTGTCTTCCCAAGAGCATTTAGGTAATTCATAATTCACACTCTACAAATACTGCTAGTCCTTCCCCTAGCTCCGATTAATCCCGACCCGAGGTCAATCTTTCCATGCCAGCTTAGCTTTTCCCAGTTTTGAATGTCCTCTCCCTGTTGTTTGACCGAGGAGGGGTTGTGGTGGGTCAGCACCACGATGATGATTGATCCCTCATTAGGCAAGCTGGCTCCAACGCCATTGCTCGTACTTCAGACGCCATTGCTCGTACCGCAGGTACCATTCTTGGTGCCGCTGGAACCATTGTTCGTACCCCAGCTCGTTTTCTATCAGCCAGATGCACCCGAGCCCGACCAACCAGACCATTGCGGCCGGGGCCGTCCATGCTATTCCCGCCCCGATCGTCCAGGATATCAAGGCCCCGAACACACAGGCTGCGCCGGTATCAGTCGCCCAGGCCACCGTGATTGGCATCTTCTGTTTAGCGCGAGGTGGTGGAGCGTCTGGGTTTCGGGCGCGAGGAGCCTGCTGGGAAGCACACTCTTCCGTCTTTTGTTGAGGCTGAGTGGTGGGATCACATAGACTCGGAGGGGTTGGTGTGGTGTAAGAAGGTGGCGGAGTCTCATTCCGAGGTTTCTGACCTTGCAGTGGACCTGGAGCCCAAATTAATTTTTCCTGAGGCTTTGTCTCCTTAATCGACCCCGATTTGGGATCTAGAAGTGGGTTTGAGTCCGCTGGTGTGTCTCGAGGCTGTGTCTCGCTATTCGATTTCCATTTAAACGACAGGCTCGCGCAGAGGCTGTATGTCATTGTGTGAGCACGATTTCTTTGACGTTTGGGAAGGGAATGATCGACGGTCTGGGTTTGGTGGTATTTTATAGCCATATCTGATATTGATGGCGGTGAGGGGAGCAGAGGTCGAATGACGGCCGCAGTTGATGGCCCCGAGTTGTAGTTGTACGGAGCAGGTGATGTTCAGATTCGAGAGAATATTGGTACTCAGTCCGTAGCTGTGTGTGGTGTGTGTTCTTGACGAGATGGGTCGGAGTGACACGACTGGGATTGAGAAGGTGAAGCGTCTTCTTCCATTGTGACTCATACAGAAACGCTTCCATCTGCACTAATCAGTACTAAGATATATAGGTTTCTGACGGCTCCTTCCTTAGTGTTAAGGCTGGGTTTTTGAATAATTGCAGGTCCACCTGGCGAACATGCAGGCGCCCACTATGCTAGTAGTGGGTGGAGCGAAGCAGGGCTACCTATGGGTACCTAGTGCTGCTCTTTAAAACGCCTACACCACCGTAAACATGTTCCTATTATAAGGCGGAAAATCATGGCGGAAAGTTTGATATTAACTTATTTGGTAATTAGGGGCGTGTTTTGTTTTTGGTGGAAAAGATAAGGTTAAATGGAAAATTCCTAAGTATACGAAATAACACGTCAGACGAAATATATATCCTAAATGTAAAGAGACTATGATAATATATATATAAGCTTTGCATTAAAGGCAGGATTAATAGTATTGCTGGTATGCTTGCCTTACTAATTAATGTAAAGGATTCATTAAACTAAACTTAAGTAATATATAATATATAGGCTTTAAAATTAATAATTTTATATTAAAGCTTATTATATTATATTTATTAAGCCCTTTAATATAATATAATGGGCTTTATTTTCTTCTTTATATAATAAATATAATGGGCTTATTTATACCTATTATACTATATTTAATAAATTTAATATAATAACTTGCCACCCTGCTTATTTATCATTAATGTTTTTAATGATTCAAGAAAGACGTTTATTTATGTAGGATTTAATCTTGCCAATACTTAACTGCAGGAGTTATTGCATATTTAGTACCTTTTCGCGCAACTCAAAGGAAAGTTTGGAGAAGGGGGTGGTCAATAAACGTATAAACTAGAAGAGTGTCAAAGATACTCAGAGAATGTGGTTACAAATCCAACCAGAACATGCCGCGGAGAAACTCCGTCCCTTCTCAACAAGTATTGATATTCAACCGTCGTTATGATCCTCACATACTACCACATTCAGGCTGCCTTCAGATAAGGCCGTCTATCAGGGCTCAATAGCTAAGCTGGCTGCTTGGGCTGGCGACGCTGACCATGTGTTTCCAACGGCGTTGTCGAAAGGAATGTTGAGAAAAGACATTGCTTTCAAATTCAAGCACCTATAATAGCCTAATAACTGAAATATTCGACTTCAGAGTCCCGGGCATTTGGTAATCGAATATTCCTCGGCCTTGTCACACAAGACTAGTCCAGATCACCCCATAGCGTCAACTTGATAGCTGTTGGGTCGTCATCTGCTGCGTAAGCGTCCACAGTCTGTCGCAAGCCCAGATTTACATCCCAAGCCCGCAGATATCTCGCCCACTTATATTGCCCTCAGCCTCACGCAGCCAATAATCAATCGAGGAGTAGCCTAGCCAAGGGACAATTTGTTGCCATGTCTGTATAGAACCAGCGTGGCGCAGGGACCCTGGCAAGATGTCATTAAAGATGTCTTTCAACACGCTGCACATACACCGCCCCACGTCGGTATATGCCTTGTCACAACCGCTCTCGTGCTCTATCGCGTCAACCTAGTAGAGCGAGTTGTGCTTAGCTCGACCTCAAACCCCTCCACTCGCGTTTGGATCTCCGCTTTGCTACTATGGTGAGTAGCCCTGCAATAGTTTGAGTTAGCTTTGAGAACCCAAAGGTGTTTTCTCCTATGATAGTGGCGAAGTAAAATGTGATGTGGCTCAGGCCTATTCCAAAGTTAGCACTTAAGAAGGTGTATATACTACAGATAAAAGAGATTACTTCTTGAAAAGAATCAAGACCACATTTAAAACTGCTTACAAAAATGTGCACATCGCCAACTACATACCATCCATTCGTGCAGACCCTCCTTAATGTATAGGGCTAGTGGCGGATACTTCTTATGGGAGAGAGGCTGGGCCAGCTTGGCCTTCCTGATCGTGTATAGGGACGTCTAGGTGCAGCATATGAGCGGCGAGGGATAAGCCGTCACTAGTCAGGACACAGAATCGGTGCTACCAGTGCTTCTGAGTACCTGGCTCGCCGTAATGATATTTATCGAATTCAAACACTTAACCTCAGAGTCAAAGTCCCGTCTACCCCTGATAGGTATAGTAAAGCAACCGGCTTTACTAAGTATATAGTCCTCGTTATAGGGTTTGCTGTCGTGGTGAAGGGTGTGAATAATCTTCCAGCCGCTGTAAAGACTTTATTAAGGAAATACGCAACTTAGCGAAACAAGCCTATAACTTAGCGATTATATTATCTATGATTACTGTTAGAGGTAAGCTCATATTAGCTCCAACAAAAATGTGGCTGTTAGACGGGACCTCATAAGCCCAAGTCATTCTCGCGAGGAAGGTGGTAGGTAGAGCGGAAGCAGATAAGAATCTTTAAATCGATGTATTGTTCGTGACGACTGCTATCCCCTGTTCCAGGAAAGAGTTTCAGGCGTCTTCGCGTTTAGAGAGGAAATATAGGCGTTCCCGTTTAACTAAATGAAGTAAATATCGTAATGCTTCTCGGTTGGACGTGGTGCTTGTAACAGCACCTATTTATGCGAACCTACCTATGCGAACCTACCCATGCGAATTCTTTAAACTTGCCAGCGGGGATGAAGCTGTCGCCTTGTTGGGCTGTTCTGCTTCCCTGGTGATGTGTGAAGGATATAATAAGCCTGCATATAATTAGGCGCTATAGTTATGTAATGTAAAAATGTTTAGTAAGGATAAGTGGTAGGGCCTAGTGAAGAGTAGATATGGTTGCTAAAGCGTGAGTAGTATATAGAATAAGAAGGATAAGAAGAAGGGAGGAAAAGAGAGAGAAGGAAGAGAAGAGAGAGAAGGAGGAGAAGAGAGAGAAGGAGGAGAAGAGAGAGAAGGAGAACGAGAAGGAGAAGGGGAGGGAGCAGGGAAAGCGACCACGACCGCGACCGCCTTAAGCACTGGACTCTAGCAGCTGGGCAGCCAGCAACCGGGTCAAAAGCTGCCAGGGAGCAGGCCCCCTTACCCCACCCGCGCGCAGCCACCATGCTGGCTGCGTGGTGACAATCGCGTAAAGTTAAATAATTTCTGAGAGGGAACGACCAGAACTTGGTGTCTATAGGGCCAGAGGGGTGGCCGAGAGGATTTATATACCGAATGTCACGGAGTGTCACGAAGTAGGGGTGAGGCGTGGGCGGATCAGAGGCGGGTGGCTGACTAACCCGTCTGGGACACGGCGGTTGGAAATCGACGCAAGACTACCTAGGTAGTCTACTATAAAATCCAGGACGCCAGCGGCTGGGCCTGGCTAGCCAGCACCGCTGCTCTTGCTCAGGCTTCAATCACTCTTGCTCAGTGAGCATCACCTTCAATTACGTTAACCTCGCCTATTGCTTTAACGCACTACATGCCAACCTATCACATCTTATAAACATAACTTTTGAATTTGCACTGCACTTCCTTGACTCTTTACGACCTTCGCTAAAGTTCAAGATAGACGAGGAGGCCTAGAATTTTTGAACCAAAGACGCCATCATCAAAGAGCCTAACCTAAGGTGGTTGCTTGACTTGGGTCCGTTGAGTCTCGGTGCTGAGGCAGGAACCCTAAAATAATAATGGCCATCCACGCAAGTTGGCCAAAACACATCAAATAGTGTGGAGGGACTCACATCTTTCGTGAGGCCCCAATTGTCTAGCCCGTGGAACATGTATCAGACGCATCTGAATGAGATAACAGCTCTATGATACAGCACCCATTTTTTACGGGTTTCAAATTGGCCTCAGCACTTCGCTGACCTACCACCAAGCGTAACCTTCACAGCCTGTAGCCTACTCGCGTCCACCTCAGGCAACTCTTGCTCACCATTTCCCACTGGCGCGGGCAGGAATCCAACTGCCACTAGGTACGCAAGGTATACGCCTATGGTACGCATATCAACAGCGTGGGGTTTATTGGGGGTGCTAAAGTTTGTACCCTTGTCGTATAGTTCTAGAGCGGCTGTAGCTTGTGAATCGTCCATCTCCGGGGCGATGGTATTGGCAGGCAGGTCCCCCGTCACAAAGTGGAATAGTGGGAGCAAGGCATGCTCCTCGTTACCCTCGTCCTCTACGTACCTGACAACCTTGGCGCGCCACTCTCGATACGGTACGAGAGGCGTATGGTATCCGTAGTGCTCCAGAGCGCCGATCCACTCGTTGAGAGTCAGTCGTGGATGGCTGGTGACCTGAGCTACGCTGAGGGACTGCCCGGTCACGGTAGGAAGTAGCAATCCTGCGGCAACAACAATGCGGCTGACCTGCGAGACGGGTACTGCGTTAACGGTGTTGTTGATGTCTGGGCGCGCGCCGACCTGCAGACAGCCTTTCCATAGCCGTACCAGGAAGTCATCGGTAACGGAGATGCCAGACATCGGGTCTCCAGTGACATAACCAGGCCGGACTATGGCTCCCGTAAGCCCTCTGACTCCAGCGTTGCGAATGATGTATTCGCTGGCCCACTTGGACTGCCCATAGCCTGTCTCGAGGCCCTTGTGGCTGCCTTGAAGGTCGTCCGTCTCCAGCACACCGGTCTCGACGTCTCGTGATAGCTGTACGTAATGTTGGGTATCCAGAGTCGACGTAGAGCTGACAAAGCACAGTCGCTTAGGCTTCCCCTCGGCGCATAGCCGGATGCACTCCAAAGTACTGAGCACATTGGCCGCCCTCAGGCTTGAGTAAGGCAGCATCCAGTTCACGTGAGCCCCATTGTGAATGATGAGGTCTACAGAGTCAGAGAGGCGATTCCAGGTGTCTTGGGGGACGTCGAGGGACGGCTTGGAGATATCGCCCACCACCGCCTCAATCCTGGACGACCACTCTGGACACCAGAGGCCGTAAGCCGCTGCCGTGGACTCTACGCGCGAGAGACCTGCTTCTGCATCCTCCGCGCGGACGTGCACAATGACGCGTGCCTTTGCTGGGCCCTCGAGAAGCTCACGTAGGATATAGGACCCGAGGAAGCCTGTAGCGCCGGTCAAGAGTACAGTAGGTGGCCTCTCTGTGTAGTCCCAATTTACCGGCGCCTGTGGGATGCAGTCTGGGAGCTGAGACAGAAGCTCCTGGGCGTCAGCCGCATACGACTTATCCTCAGACTCTCCATCCCCAGGAAGAGGCATAGCGTCCAGTCGCAGACCAATGGGATCTAGGGCTCTATCAATCTCCAAGGCTAAGGTATGGAGAGTCTGGGACCGAAAAAGGACGCTAACTGGCAGGTCGATGTCCTTCCATTCGCTCTTGAGGCGGAAGAACATTTGCTGTGCGAGGACAGAGTGCCCACCCTCTTCAAAGAAATTAGACTCTGGGACGAACATTCGTGCGGAGCGGTTAGGGAGAACTGAACCCCACACTGCTGCCAGTCTCTTCTGCGTTTCAGTCATATTGGCGACGACTGACGAGGTCCTCCTTTTGGCCGCCGAGAGAAGATCCACTGGGTCGGGAAAGGGGAGTGCTGGCTTGTCAATTTTGCCATTTGGATTTAGTGGCATCCGGGCCAGGGGTATGAAAATGCTGGGGACGGCGTAGCTGGGTAGCTTCCCCGTTAGAAACTTCTTGCAGTCGTCAGACAACAGCTTGAAACGCCTGAGCATGCGGGCCATCGTTTCAGTTGCAATCTCTTCCTCGATAACTCTTGGATCGTCTTGCGATTGGAGGTGCCGAAACCACGACCTTGTTTCGGGGACAAAGTACGCAACCAGAGTATGCTCCTCGTTCCGATCTCTTCGTACGACTGTAATGTTGTCCCGTACGTATGGGTGCTGGGCCAAGAGGACGTCGATTTCGCTGAGTTCTATCCGGAAACCTCGGATCTTCACTTGCGTATCCATTCGACCTGTGCACTCGACACTTCCATCCTCGCGCATCCGACCTAGATCACCAGTCCGGTATAAACGATCTCGTGGCCCCTTATAGTGGTTGACAGAGGCGTATTGGGGCTCAGACTCTCGAATCCACTTGGCAGGATCGACAAACCAGTTAGACACAAACTTCGACCGGTTTAGTTCCATTGTTCTCTCGTCGTCTCCTCTGTAACCTTCCGCAAGACCGCCTGCACGGATGAATAGTTCACCAGTCTCACCAACGTCGCATAGTCTGTACCGATCTTGACGATCTACAACCAGCAGCTGAACATTTAACATCCCCTGGCCGACTGGGATGATGTCTGGCAACGATTCAAAGAAATCCGGGTCCTCAACTTTGCTTGGAATCTCGAAGAAGGAGACAGCACGCTGTGACTCCGTTGATCCAAAGAGATTGATCACCTTTGTATTAGGTGCGAGATCGCGTAGCTTTCGGCAGTCCTTCTTGGTCAAGAGGTCGCCAACGAAGAAGGCCCTTCGAAGTGTGGGGAATGAGGTCGTAGCACCGCCGATGAGAATTTGGCCAAGAGCAGGAGTAAGGTGAGTCACTGTAGCCTTGTGCCTATTCATCCACTCGGCCAGCAGTCCGTAGGTGATGACTTCAGCCGGGGGACAGACGATCGTAGCAGCAAGGTAGAGTGGCGTAAAAATGTCTCGCTGGATTGGATCATGTGCAATGCCGGAGAGCATTGTGAATCTGTCCGTCTCCGAAAGGCCAAACCTCTCTGCCATCCACGGTGTGTAGTAGGTCAGAGAGTAATGGCGGCCTTGCACGCCTTTCGGGGTTCCTTGAGTGCCTGAGGTATACGAGAGTGTCGGTATGGAATCGGGGCCAACAGAGACATCAGGATTGTGCTCTTTGAGAGGTGCCTGGGCGGCGAGACAGTCTTGACCCTTGACTGTGCCTCCAGTCAGCTCCCCGTTGCTTGAAAGACGCAGCGCCGGGATGGTGGCCTTGACGTCTAGATCGGTCTTGATGTAATCGCTGACGAGGCTAGGAAGATGACCGAACTCATCAATAGCTTGTTGGATGCAGATGAGAAACTGGGGTTGCGAAACACCCAGCAAAACCTTCTGGCGCTCTGCAGGGTACTGTGGATCGAGGACACTGACGGTCGCGCCGGCCTTCAGAGCACCCATGTAGGCAACGACAAGGTCAACGCCTCGGTAGGCATAAATGACGACGACATCGCCCACAGTACAGCCATGGGCGATAAGGTGATGTGCTAACTGGTTCGAGGCCTGGTTGATCTGGCGGTATGTGAAGATGCGCTCGGGACGCTGTGAGCTCTGGGTCTCAATAACACATTGCTTGTCAGGCACTCGCTGTGCATTGGCTGCGAATATATCATGGATTGCTACAACGTCAATTCAGAAAGTCGTTCACTAACGCCAGACGTGCCAGCTCACCTCCACGGAATCCGCCCCAATCTAAGTCGCAGGTGGGATCGGGAATCAAAGAGTTATGTTGCATGTTGAAGAAAGCCGGTCGGTCTTGGATTTCCATACAAATGGCGAACAGATTGGCTGGTTGCCAAAGATGTATGGTGTCATCTCGAAAAAAATGTGTTAAGGCCGATTTCCTCGGGATCATTAGAATCACGTGAGAGGTTTTTTTGGTGAGCCACCTCCGATGTCGGCTTCTCATACAACTCCGTAGTCCGTTGTAACACAGCCAACGTCCGTGCACCCAAGCTTCTTGCGTCCGCCCACCCAGCTCTTTCAGTGCGCCCACCCAGTACAAAAAAAAATTGCTTTACCACCCACCCAAAAAGAAGTACATCTTGGATGCTGACTAAGAATGCTAAGGCTCCCCTACAAACAAGATACCTTTGCACCTCTATACCCTCTGTGCCCTCTGCCGTGCCCCCTCATCAGTGTTCATCGCGGTTGACCATCTTCTAACAGGACTCAATTGTGCGTTGGTGCTGTTGCCACCGGCGACCCCTATGGCTTCTTCGGGCTTTGCGACTCCTCAACCGTAAGCTGCTTCAGCTTCACTCCCGCGGACTCTCGTGCCTTCAATAGAGACGACTCGATCATCGGCTGCCTCTTTTGCCGCCCTAGAGAACCCTTCGGCTTCTGCAGGCTTTCAAGCCAGCCGGCTGGCCGATCTGCAAGATGTCTGCTCTGCATGAGATACACCTTAGTCAAATAGCACGCTTGCTGTGCGTCCACGGCGGCGTGATGATTTCTGCCCACCAGTTCGTGCTGCGAGCCCATGATGAGCGGGAAGACGACCGACAAAGCGGCTGGCACGATGCGACCGTCATTCGCTAGAGCCGCCTTTAGATTCCTTCTGATATGCGGCACGATGGGCAGACACCTAGAGTCATTGGGCAGAACGTCAAACTGTCCTTCTGACTCGAGCCATCCGCGCAGAGCAGAGAGGTCGGTGGTCGTTTGATGCCACGTCACGAACCATGTCCTTGGCGATACTCCTTGCTCTCGTAAACGATCTGCAACTTGACGAGCTGACATCCTGTGATCCACGCAATGGTGCCGCCGAGTAGACCTGTCAATCACACCGTCTATGTAGGTATTCTTCGTATCTCCCTTGCGATTGATGATTGCAAGAGTCTTGGGCTGAGATCTGGTCCGACAGTGCAGAGTTAGATTGCCTTTGTTGGAAGGTGCAAGGGTCGTATGCCCATACGCTAGCGCTAGCCTACAAATAGGCTCCTTCTCAGCATTTAATAGCAAGAAACTTCTCTCCTTAACATATAATAATTAACTATTATTTACTTTATTGCTTTATTAGGTTATAAGCTTAATATTATTTAAAATATCTTAAAATATTAAGAAATATTAATATCTTTATTTTTATAATTATTTTTATACTTAAATTATTAAGATTTTAATATTATTAATCTTTACTTATATATTATTATTATACTTTATAATAATTATTATAATTAATAATTACTTATAATAATTTAATATTCTTGCTTTATTTAATATTTTAATTATTTACTTTATTTTATTTATTTATTTATATTAATTAATATTAATTATTATAAATAAATATAAATATATAAATATTATTTAAAATATGCTTAAAGATATATAAATATTATTTAAAAAATATTAAATATATTTAATTTTAAGCTTAATTTATTATTTTTCTTAAAGTTAAACTTAAAAAGAAAAAACTTTTTAAATTAAAGGATAATATAAAGTTATAGCTTTTAATTTATTAATTTTAATAAATATATTATAAGTATTAAGAAATAATTAATAAAAAGTATAGCTTTTATAAAATAAAAAAAGCTTAATAATTAAGTTTTTATTATATTTTTAAGCTTAATATATTTAAGCTTTATAATATTTATTATATTATATAAAAAATCTTTTAATATTTAAAAAATATTAATTAATTAATTTAATTATAATATTAATATTTTAATTACTTATCTTTTTTATTAATTAATAAATTTATAATATAAAAATAGTTTTAACTTATAAAGTTATTTAAATATCTTTTAAAATTTTTAAATAAAACTTTATATTAAAATTTTAATATTAAGATAATTAATTAAAAGATTAATAAAGTTATTTTTTAAAAATAATAAAGTTAAAGGCCTTTTTTTATAATATTTTTAAAATTAAATTTAAAATAATAAATATTATTTTTTATATAAAAGTTAAATAATTTAAAGCTTACTTTATTTTTATTTAAAAATGGTTAGCATTAAAAAATATGCTTAATATTATATATAAAACTTTTTATTTATTAATTATTTATATATTAATTATATAAAGCTTATTAAATATAAAGTTAACTAAAAATAAAAAAAAAGTAAAAAATAAATTATTATAAATTAAATTATAAATAAAAAAATTATTAAAATATTTAATAATAATAAAAAAATAATACTAATATTATATATTAATATTTTAATATATATAATAAAGTTATTAATAATTATAAATATTTAATATTATTAATTTTTTATTTTAATATTTTAAAATATATAATAAAATATATAAAAAACTTTAATTTTTTATAATTATATTTAAGTATAATTATTATTATAAATAATAATTAACTTATTATAAAAGATATTAATTTTATAAAGATTTGTTTATAATTATTAAATAAATTAATTATTAAAAGCATTTTTATTAATATTTTACATAATTATATATTAAAAAATATTTATTTATTTAACTAAATTATAATTTAAAAAAGGTTTTAATTAAATATATAAGGAAATAATACCTTTTTATTATTAAAAGATAATAAATCTTATAAAATATTATAAATAAAGTTTTAATATAAAATTTTTAAAATTTAAATAATAAAAAATAACTTTATAATATTTATAATATATAATAAATTTTATAAAGCTTTTAATTATAATAATTTATTAAAATTAATTACTTAATGCTTATATAAAAATAAAGATATTATATTAAATTATTATGGGCTAGCCTTGGGTTATTTGCCGTAAGATATTTAAATAAGGTTTTTATTTAAAGTATAAAGGAAAAGGTTTACTTTTTGTTTATATTTATGTTAAAGCTTATTTTTATAAAGCTAAAGCCTATTAATTAATTATAATAAGTAAAGCTTAAATTATAATATATCCTCCTTCTTTAAGTTTTTATAATAAGCCTTAAAAGGTAATTATATAATAAAAAATAAAGAATATTGTTGGCTGGGTCACGTATTGCAATATAACGTTTAGTTAGTGTAATGGTTATTTATTGTTAACTATAGAAGGAAGGAAGGCAAAAGGCTTAATTATATTAGCTATTTTATATACAGCGCTAGGGCTGCTGCCTATTAAGCATCCTAACGAGTTAAAGCTGCCTAATTCCAAACAGTCCTCTATATAAACAACACCCATTATTCCCACATTAGCAGTTTTTATTTTATAAATGCGTACCTCTTTCAAAAAGTATAAAAGAAAGAAAGGTATTAAGTTAAATTAAACTTAAGGTTAAGAGGTAATTAATTAATTACATATATAAATTAAATTATAAGTACGCTGTTATTTCACTGCGCTATATTATTATAAAAGGTAGGCATATAAAAAGGCCTGGGTCGTTATCAAGGAGTTAAAGGTTAATTAATTCATTAAAATATGTAATTAATAGGAAGAGGTTAATTAAGTATACATATATATTAAAACGTCTTAATTATATAAAGTTAAAAAGCTTAAAAGGTTGCAATTGCTATATAAACATTTTATTTACAATGCATTTCATAAACTTATATTTTTATTACTTATAGCACCTAGGTTAAATAAGAACTAAATCAAACCTTTAAACTGCTAACGTAATTATTTAATTTTTAAATAATTAAAATTTTTTATTTTAACTTAGCTTAAGCTTTGCTATGCTTAATGCCGCTTATTAAATAAAGAAATTAAGGAGTGTAATTAAAGGATAAGTTAAAATAAAGATTAATAAGTTATAAGGATTAGCAAATAAAGTATTTAAATAAAGGGAAAGTAGGGTATAAAATAAAGAATGTTAATTAAGTTAGTAAATAGCAATACTTTTAATTTTAATATATAAGTATTAAATTACGAAATCTAATTAAGGACGCCCATTAAATACAAGCTAGCAACTTAAGTATTTATAAGATAATAATAACCCTCATTATTTAAACCCTTAGTATATAAGCATTATTATAAAAATTTTAAATATAAGGTTTGCCCTTAAGAGGGATGTAATTTAAAGTTAGCTAATTATATTGTATTATAAGGTAATTTATAAGTAATTAATAAATATAAACTAAACTTTTGCATTTTTACTATGCATTATCTTTAATTAAAAAAGTTGTTTTATTATCCTTTATTTTATTATTCCTTATTAAAAACCTTTAACAGTTTTTTTATCTTTATAATCACATAATATGCATCCTTAAGTTAATTGCATTAATGTTAATATAACAACCTTATAATATATAATATAATGATAATATTTAGGATTATATTAACGTAGTTTGCTAATAAGTTGTTAAACTATGCTTTAATAATTTAGATTTAAGCCTTAATGCATTGTAGTTTTCCTAACTTTTTACTACATTTAAATAATTACCTTGTTTTCTTAATTACAATTTATATAGCCCTATACCTTAATTATAATATTATTTATATTTATAAAGCGCTAAAGAGTGCTATTAAGAGTACTCTTTATAAAGGCATTAATTAAGTTGCAGTCCCTAGCGATTTAATAAATCTTAAAGATTTTACGCTTTTTATATAATTGCTAAAGAGCTATAATATTAATTATAAGGCGCTTTTCTTTTATTATATTAAGCTTAACTAAGCATTTATATAAAGAGTATAAGTTAATGCATATTATAAGAAGAATTATTATAATATTTAAATATATAGTAATTTAGCATAAAGTAGCCATTAGCATTATAATTATATTAAAGCCATTAATCATGCCATAAATCTTTAAAGCTAAAACGCTTTAAGTTACTTTTTAGCACTTTATTAAGGATTAATAAATAATATTACCTTTAATATTTTACTTAAAAGCCTATTAAGTTTATATTTTATTTATAAGTATAATAATAAAGCTAATTTATAAGTTAAGGTCCTTATTATTAATAAATAAGCTATTAATAAAGATTATTAATTTAGCTTAAGATAAATTTAAGAGTATATATTAAAGTCTTTACTTTAAGTTATTAGCTTGCTATTATAATTAGCGATTTAGCCTATTATAGTTTTTATAAAAAGGCTCTTAAATTTAAGCTATCATTAATAAGTTAAACATTACCTTAAATTAATAAATAAAAGCAAGATATATTCCTTATATATATTGCTTTATATATTGTTAAGCATAATTATTAACTTTATTATTAATAAACATAATCTTTTTACCTTAACTCTTTTAATAAAGATATAAAGTACCTTTATTAAAAATACTTATAGTTATATTATTAAAAATAAGTAATTTATTAAGGGTAAGTATTTTTTTTAGCTTGCATTAAATATTTACCTTCTTAATCTTTTATTTTTCTAGCTTTAAGAATATTAAAGTATTAAGGAATAAAGTATTATTAATTTGCATAATAATAATAATAAAAACATCCTTTCCTTAGTTTACAATTAAAAGGCATAAATTATATATCAAAATAATTATATTTAAATCATTATAATAAAACTTATAATAAATTGCTTATTAATATATATTAAATTTAGCAATACTATAAAGCAATTTAATAACTTATATAATGATTTTAAAAAGATATTTATTTTAAATCTTAAAAGATAAGTAATATAAAATAAATTGCTTAAGTTTAAACTTTAATTAAGAATATACTTAAGTAATATCTTAAAATTTTAATTAAAAGCTTTATGCTAAAAAAAATAAAGCTAAAGTAATTAAAAGCCTTTAGCTAACTCTTTAAATAATTAAAGATTATATAAAAATATTATACTTATTCTTATCACTATATCCAGCAATAATAAGCCGTAATTTCTTATATAGCTTTTTAGTTTTACTTTTAATTT